GTTAGGCCGGTAAAAACGATGGGATAGGTTATTTTCAGCATTCAATAATCATCGGTGTTTCATGGCCAAGATGGCGTTTCTTGGCTCAATCCCTCCACCTCTTTGTCTATCCTCAAATCCCACCCGAAGACCTACCTCTTTGACTGCTCCTATGGACACCTTCCCACCTCTCCATTGCCTGCCCTGCAACCCTGCCTCTGCTCAGTGCTTTGAGAAGCTATCCTGCACCAACGGTAAGTGCAAGTTACTGCACAAGCAGAGGCCATTTAACCCGTTCTCATCGATGCACTGCTTGCTCTCTCCACTGTAAACCCATTCCCTGAACTTTCCTCAATCCCTTTAAGTGAGAGCCCCACTGGTCATTCAACAAGCTTTGTAAATGTTGCAAGCAATGGCGCTAATAGTTTGCAGATTCCCTGCCCCCAACACTGAACTCACACCCAGCCCCTCCGCACAGGATGGGTTTCAATGCTTAGTTCTGTAAGAACAAGAAGCAAACTCATTTCAAACGCTTTAAAACCTTCTCCTGCTCCCCCTCTCCGCTCCTCCTCCTCGAGGTGCTGACTCACGATAAAGTACAGTTCCTAAACACATCAGGCAATCTCAGGTTACTGAGCCCTTAATCACAAGTGCCCATTCTTTCTGTTTGAGCAGAAGCAACGATTGTTGGTGGGTTACTGAACTGTGAGGTAGTTTCAGCTGAAGTCAATTGTGCCCTCACCTGACATCTACACAATGTACTTTCCAGCACGGGTCAACAGACAGAGATCAGGAGCCTTATCCTGACTGATTTTCCTCTCTCTTTTCTGAGCAGCACAAACTCTGCCCCCAAAACCACTAGGCAATTAGCTGCCGCGTTTCGCCCGCAAATGTACGGTCAATTCACTTTACAGTCTATTCTGTGAAGCACTTTGAGATGTCGAGAAGACGTGAAAAGCGCTATATCAAATGCAAGGATTATTATTATTATTATAAGGCAGGATGCCTGCCAGATTCAAAGCCCATTGGAAGCAGTTCTTTCTAAAGGGGAAACAAGATAGATGTTTAAATAATAATAATAATTCTTGCATTTGATATAGCGCCTTATCACGTTTTCCAGATGTCTCAGAGCGTTTCACAGGACACACTGTAAACTGAGTTGATATATTTTGTGGACGAAACATGGCAGCCAATTGCGCACAGTAGCATCCCACAAACAGTCGTGAATTGAGCAACCAAATTAGAGAGAGAGAGAGGAATATTAAAGTTTGTGGGGGAAGCCAGCGGAAGAGAGGCTTTAGATTAAGTGATTTAAGAGGAAGAATTTGCAGTCTTGAGAGGCCTATGTTTCTGTGCAGTTTGCATGGTCTGTGCTCTCAGCGAGTTCAACCTCACTCCGCAAAGAAAAATAGAACCAGCATTTTGAGAACCTATGACATCCGAAGGTCTCAAAGCACTTTACAGTAGTCACTGTCATGGGTGATGACTGCTTATTTTGTAGGCAAACTCCACAACCATTTTGCACATAGCAAGACCTCAGAAAGAGCCACGAGGTGAACCACCAATTATTGTTCGACTCTTTTACAAAGCTTTGCTGGACCTGGTTATCTGTGTGTTATATATAACATGATTACCTTATCACGCGAGTGTCCTGTGGACCCAGTTACAACAACAACTTGCACTTACACAGCGCCCTCCACGCAGGGCAGCGTCTCAAAGAGCTTAACAGTGACGGAGCCTGACTCTGAGCTGGGGGGAGTGGGGGAAGTGCCGGAAGCGCGGTCGAAGAGGACGGCCTTCAGACGGGATTTGATAAAGGGAAGAGAGGGGGCAAGGCGGAGGGATTGAGGGAGAGTGTTCCTGAGTTTTGCGCCTTAGTAGCTTAAAGCGCGACCTCTGATGGTGGGGTGGAGAGTGTGAGGGATGAGCAGGAGGCCTGTGCCAGTCGAGCGGAGGCGCCAGGTGGTGGATTGGGGAGTGAGGAGGTCGGAGGGATAGGAAGGTGTCAGAGGGATGGCTGCTCAGCCCTGACCCCTACGGTGCAAACATTCACTGGAAGCCGGAAGTTACACCAGGGACAACATTACAACTCGGAAGCAAGACCAGGAGAATAATAATCCTGGCGTTTAATATAGCACCTTATCACGTCTTTGAGACGTCTCAAAGGGCTTCACAGAATATACTGTAAAGTGAATTGACTGTATATTTGTAAGCGAAACGCAGCGTCCCACAAACAGTCGTGGATTGAGTAACCAAATTATTATTGTTTCTTTTTCTTGTGGTATTATTATCAGGCACGTGGAGTAAGGAAACCTGGCCAAGCGGGAATCAAACCCAGGTGTCTTGCTTGCGAAGCGAGTGCTCTAACCACTGAGCCACAGGACTCCACAAAACTCCTTTCTCTTTTGGAATATTGTGGACGGATTTTTAACCCCGAACCAGAACAGGCAGATGTCCCCCGGGACCTTGGTTTAAATGTTTAACCTGAAGGGTGGCACTTCCAACAATTCAGCAATTCCCCCACCATCGCCCCCCAGTAGACAACGGGCTCAATCCTCTCAGCCTCTGTTTACGGAAGCCAAGCCTTTGCCTCCTCCTCCTGGACAATAGGGAGCACCCTCTACTGGTAATGGTTTGTCAGACGTTTCAGGACAAGACCAGGTTATTTTGCCCTCGGTACCTAGACTCCCGCTGGCTCTCCACTGGGGCTCCTCTACTCTGAACCCAATTCCTTTCCTCCGAGATTACAAAGCTGTCCCTCCCGGGTTCGTCAGTGATAAACACCGGCTATTCGGGGATCTAGGGCTCCGGGACAGTATCTTGCACGAGGGGTGCTATATAAATGCACGCTGTTGTTGTCGATAAACGTGTGCTTTGCAATGTTTTGATTAATAATAACAATCCTTGCGTTTGATATAGTCTTCGAGACGTCTCAAAGCGCTTCACAGGCTATACTGTAAAGTGAGTTGACTGTATATTTTGCGAGCAAAATAATTTTGTTTAGGACAGTAAGGTGCTGGGGATAGAAATTACAAGAGGTTGTAAAGAATAGACTGTAAAGTGAATTGACTGTACTTTTGTGGGCGAATGACCAGAACAGGTTGTTTGGAAAAGTGGCTGAGGTCAAAATTGTGGACTATTTTTTTAAAAAAACAGCTTGACCCTGTGATTGGGAGCAATAGTAGGGTGCGTGTACCGGAGGTTCATGAGATCAAATAGACCACTCTGCTGATCACTTGATTCGGGAGGATATTCATGGCTCTGAGAGAAAGGGCGAGAGATAGATAGATAGATATATATATATATAGAGAGAAAGGATACACAGCGAGGTCAGAGGTCTCCAAATAAAGGTAAAATCCTCCTGCCCCAACAACAAAACCGATCGTGACTACTGTGCACAGCCTGTGGCCGGTGGCTTTTAGAAGAGGGTAGAAAATGAAGGGAAGGGAGGACAAACAAAATGGATAGGGCGGACAAACAGGACAGAATGTTGTGGGCAAACAGCCAGTTATAAATGACGTGTGCGATTGAGCAGAGAACAAAGAACCAACCAGGAAGGACGGTCACCTGACCCGTAAGTGTTGACATTTTACAGGAATGGTGAGCCAGAAAGCCCTCACCTCCCAGAGAGAAAAATGTGGAGGGGAGCTTCCAATCTGAACGTGGGGGAATGAACAAACGAGGAAGAACCTCAAGTTTTTCTTTTTAAAGATAAAAGTAAATATCAGACGAGTGACTCTGTGTTGGCCAGAAGCCCAGGTGTCGGAAAGTCCACGATTTGGTCCACAAAATACACAGTCAATTCACCTTACAGTATATTCTGTACATATCGAAGGCGTGATAAGGTGCTACGTCAAATAATAATCCTTGCATTTGATAGAGCGCCTTATAACATCTTCAAGACGCCTCAAAGCGCTTCACAGAATATACCGTAAAGTGAATTGACTATTTTGTGGGCGAAACGTGGCAGCCAAACCCGTGCTGCAGTGTCTCACAAACAGTCGTGGATTGAGTGACCGAATTATTATTTTTCTTTTGCAAGGATTATTAAATCAAACTGCAGTTAAGTTCTTTGCCCAACAGTGATGTGTGATTTGACTTGAAAGAATGGAATGCAGAATTTGGAATCAAGTTTTGTTATAAAGTCGATTGATAGAAATTCTCCACTGTGTGTTTCCCCAAGAATGCGGTCAGCCACTCCCCCTCACTGCCTGGAACCACTCAATGTTACATCCCATGGATCCTGGGATAATGATTTCAATTCTGGACGAAAACGTTCCAAGGAATGTGGGAGGGAGCAGCTCTGCCTCAATACAGGTGGGAAGAGTCAAGTAACACCGGGCTCCTGCCTAACTTCCTCATTAAACTGCAGCACTTTGGACAGATACGTCATTGTTTAGATGTCAGGTCACCTTGCTTGCATTTTTAATAACAGGAGTCACAAAACCTTTTACGGTAATCATTGTTAAGTGTTGTGGCTGTTTTGTGCTGAGCAGAATCTCAAACAACAATAAAGTGAATGCCCAATTTTATCTGTTGGGACTGTTGCCAGGGGAAACTCCCTTTGCCTTTCTAAAAAGTATCACAGTTTCTTTTATCTCCCAACCTAAAATGCTGGCAGTTTACAACAGTTTGCACTCACAGAGTTTACACGTAGCAGAATGTCTCCAAGCACTTTACAGATATGGAGTGGGGAAGCTCCAGCACGGTGGGCGATAGGGGAATAGATGGCCAAAGCCCTGTCAAAGAGATGGGCGTGAGACAGACTCTGGAAGTCGAGAGGCATACAAGGGATGGATTTATGGAGAGGGAATTTGAGAGTGGGGCAAAGTGGCTGAAAGCTCACCCTCCGATGGCGGGATAGGGGACACGGAGCAAGACTTAGTTGGCAGAGGAAGTGGGCAGGAAATTAGGAAATTAGGACCGCAAGAGATCACAGATGGAGCAGCAAGACCGTGGAGGCATTTGACCAACGAAGGTCTTAAAGACGGTGTACTGAGGAACGGCAAGCCAGAAACACATTCCAGGAGATTGACAAGCTTTAATGGATCTCTTGTATAAACTGGATTAGAAACTCCATTCAGTTTTACTCGCTTCCTTTTAATACCTAACCCTCAGTGTCACCTGGTGCAGAGAGTAGGTATTGCTGCAATTCGGTTCATTGACTTGTCAAACCTTGTGGGTCCAAGGGTCCCAGTTGTGTGAGTCTCTCCACTCGTGCAGGAATGAACGACCCTTTGCAGACGACCAGAGGGGCCTCCTGTGCCCCGAGGTCACTCTTACACGGCAGCAATCTGCCTGGTACAGCCCAGTTGTTGCACTAACAGCAGCAAATGGCCCCCGTTAAATTGTACCCTAAAGATCTAGAGGCGATGCTGACGTGGAACCAGCCCTTGTCACGGCCGGGAGCGAGCAAGGCTCAAAATGCGTTTGTAACATCTTTATATAGATTCTGGAAACCAATGTTTAAAGCCCAGTAAAAGGGGGGGAAAGATGTGAAGTCGAAGCTGCTGACTCTCTTCGGAATCAGGTAAGCAGGGGGCGTCCCCTCCAGGGGAGAGAGTGAGTTAGCATTCCATTCCAGACGCAGGGAAATTCCCACGTACAGACAGCACGCGTGCCTCAATGCTGAGTGATTTGGATACTCTTTTAAGCACTGTCGTGCGTTCCCGCAGGTGTCAGACACCCGGTAACCGAAAAGAATTACAGCCTCTTGCCCCCCCACCTCCCCACCACACACATGCAACATAGTTGAACTGGGACAAAAGGAAGATTTCAGGGCAGTGGGGAAATTAAGGTGGAGAGTGAGTGGGGCTGAAGGGTGTCTCTTGCTCTCGATAGTGTCCCTGCTGTTCTCTTTGCGTCAGTCGCTGTCGCTGTCGCTCTTTGCTTCCTCCGGCTCTGCCTTGTCCACCTCCGCCTCCTTTTCCACAAGATCAGAGAAGAAGTCCTGGCCGCTGCCGAAAGCTTTCTTGCTGAGTGACTTCAGCTGCCCTCGCTTCTTGCGTTTCCTGTAGTCGCTGACCACCATGTCGTGCAGGTCTGAGATGTCCCAGAATTTCACCTTCTGGTCGTGGGCACAGCTGGCCAGGAAGTTCTCCTCGTGGGACTTTGCGATCTGCTCAATGGACTCGCCGGGGTGCTGGCCTACACTGCCGATCACCCGATTCGGAAGGATATTCACAGCCCTGAGAGAGAGAGAGAGAGAGAGAGAGAGAGAGAGACAGATAGTGAGGTCAAAGGAGGTCTCCAATCGTTAAGTCCTGTAGTGTAGTGGTTAAATCACTCGCCTCACAAACGAGAAGACCCGGGTTCGATTCTCAGGCAGGAAAAAAGCCTTAGGCAAGTTTCCCTACTCCAAACGCCTCTGTTACCTACCAGTAAGTGGGAACCCAGCTGTGAGTCGGTTGGTGGTCGCTTCCCCAGGATAATAATCCCTCCCCCACCCCAAAAATAAATTTAAATTATTTAGTCACTCAATCCACAACTGTTTGTGGGACGCTGCTGTGCGCAATTGGCTGTCGCGTTTCGTCCACAAAATATACAGTCAATTCACTTTACAATATATTCTGTGAAGCGCTTTGAGACGTCTGGAACAACATGGTAAGGCGCTACATCAAACGCAAGGATTATTACACTATAAACCAGGGTAAAATCCACCCGCCTCTTCCTCAAAACATTAGGGACAAAAAAGCCACAGTGGTCTTGTTTCACCTCGGCTTCGCAGCTTCTCGACAATTAGCCGTCAGCTTGTATTCTCTCACTCCTGGAGCATGGCTCGTGGGAATGTGAGTGTCACTCAGTTTGGGAGTGTCACCTCTCTCCCACCCACCCCCACCCCAATAGTAAACAGCACTTTCCCATCCCTAACCTGGGCTCTACATCCCATTGTGGTCCCCCTCCTTACACACATACACCCACACACACACACGCACAAAACACACGCACTCGCGCACCTGCATGCACACTCGCCCCTCACAGCCACTCCTTCCCCTCGCTCGTCTGCCTCACCTGATAACTCCATCCATGCAAGCCGCACACAGGATGTTTTCAGTGATGGGGATGATACAGTCGATGGATTCTCCGCGCATCGCGAACCGATCGCTGGTGGCTCCAAATCCGTCCCAGTTGAAGAGGTAGATCAGCCCCTGATTCGAGCTGCAGGCCACCTTGGTGCCGTACTGTCACAGATGGGAACTGGGTCAGACAGCGAGTCGATAGCGTTGTCATTCCTCCAGCCACGGTAACCCGCTACGACCCAAGCACCAATGCAACCCAGCCCGCTGACTGCAACATTTCAAATTGGCTTACAAATGCAACCCTCCCTTCCAGAACAGCCCGATCAGCACAGGTCAGATGCTCTGGATAACTCTCCCTACGCCCACAAAATACACAGTCGCTTCACTTCACAGTATATTTGTGAAGTGCTTTGAGGATGTCTCAATGGCGCGATAAGCCGCTAAATCAAATGCAAGGATTATTATTATTATTAATTTCACTGATTACGCTGTCTTATACAGCACTCCCAGCTGAGCTATGGTATGATTTACATACAGAGCAAAGCTCCCTCTACACAGAGGTGTTCAAACTGGAAGCCATTAACTGATAATCCTCTCCACAAAATCTAACCTTGATACACTAGAGTTCCAGTATGATATTGAAGCAAACCGCACGATCCGGGGCCTCAGGTATTGAATTCCTGCCCACAACCAGGTCCACTTTCCTTACTTACCTTCATCAGAGCCACCGACGTGAGATCGGCTTCCTGACATTCTGACTGCACGATAAAACGTCGCTGTTTAATATTAAAGGCGCACATCGTGCCATCACCACTGCAACAGAGAGTGAGGGAGGGACAGAGAGTGAGGGAGAGGGTTGGGGAGAGAGCACTTGAGAATTAGAAAATGAAAGAAAGTGAGCGCAGGAGAGAGGGAGAGCCAGAATGCGCGATGGCACGAGAGGGAGAGAGAGAGAGAAAAAGAGAGTGCATGAGAGGCTGTGAGAGAATGGGACCTCTGCCAGAGGCCCATCACCATCCCCGAAAGGTTCCCCAGCCCCAGTTCTGCCACGTTACCTCGTTGTGACCAGGATTTTTTTGTCGGAGTCGATGGTGATGTCGGTGATGTAGTCGTGGTGGTTCTTCATTTCCATGAAGGAGCTGCCCCTGCGCAGGTCCCACACCTTCAGCATCCCCACATCATCCCCCGTGGCAAACATGTTCTCATCGATCAGCAGCAGGCTGTTAATCGCAGCACTGGACAGAGAGAGAGAGAGAAAGAGAGAGAGAGAAAACAAGAGTCAGGGAGACAGAGGGGTAGAGAGAGAAACAGAGAGGATGGTACCCCGCGTGAGGGACTCTATATAAACGCAAGCTGTTGTTGTAGGGTAAGGGAGAGAGACTAAAAGATAACTAAGAGACAGAGAGAGAGAGAGAGAGAGAGAGAGCGAGAAGGAGTCAGAGAAAGAGAGATGGGAGGGGAAGGGGGTAGGGAGAGAAATAAAGAGAGAACTAGAGTGAGGGACAGATTGAAAAAATAACAAACAAAGAGAGTCAGAGAGATTCTTAACTCTCACAGACAGACAGACACAGACAGACTCACAGCAGGAATGGCATCTCCACCCACCACATACCTGTGAGCTTTTGGAATCCTCGTTACCAATTTGCCCCCTTCAACATTGTGAATGTGAATAGACTTGTCCTTGGAAACGGTGAAAAGTTCTGTAAAGAAAAGGAAAAAAAGGTGAGGAATTTAGATGGAGAACGGCAGATCAAAGCACCGGTTTGCAGTTTTCCATGTGAAAAAAAAGTAAAATTTTAAATGCGAGCGTGTTCAGTAACACACATCGCCACAGGATTTAATCATTTGATTGTCCGTTGCACACAACAGGACAAACCAAAACTGCAAGTTATTTATTCTTAAATGACACCCAAACCCTTACACTTCCGAGGATTGTGTTTTGTTTTGTTCAGCCAGTTTCTGACAAACGTAAGTCCCATCCGATGTGTATCCAAACTAGGCTGAGAGATGTTTTTTTTTCTTTTTAGTCAGGTGGGTGTCTTGACACACGTGGAATCCCTGAGATCCACACATGTATGTCGTCTGCACACAGAGCTGAATAGGAAGAACCTCTGCTCTGTGACTGGTCTGAGTCTCCCAGTTTGCAGTGTTCAAGTCCTGCTGAGGAGCCAGGTTGGCTTGGTCCGTCACGGAGGATTGACTGGCTTCCGATATTACAAGCTTGTCACTTTGGAGTCAGTTTAGCTCAAAGGAGACCCCACTCACCTTTCACCCCTCACCTGCCCCCGTACATTAGTGACTCCTTGATCCTTTGTCACTATCACAAATAGTTGGTAAATGACAAAAACCTTCAATATTAAGGCTTCATTTTAGCAATACTAAATGACACGTAATTAAGGATTGATTTCAGCAAGATCATAAGATTCCAAGACAAGAGCCTTTCCACCTATGCATCCCCCACTCCATACTCTCGGCTCCACCCCACAGTCTCCTCACTGTCCTGTACATTTACGGCTGTGGAGCAGTATTGGTGTCAGAGACTGACTTACGCTGCCCATCGCTGGAAAAATCTAGCTTCCGACAGGATTTCAGATGATGCCCCGAGGACCACAACTCCTGGTTTCCGCCCTCCACACACGAATAGGAGACACTGCAACACAATCACAGACAACAATTACCTTCCTCTCCAAACACAGTCAGAACCTCAATAATGAGGTGGTTTGTGGATCCATAAAATCAGACTATCGCATGACCGCAGGTCAGCGCTTCCATCGTGTCAGGTGTCAAACTCCTAACAGATGCCTTCTAGCCTTGCCTCCCCCCCAAACACAGGACAAGTTGGAGTACTGCTCCCAGGCTTCTGTTACCCACTCCCCCCCATAGGATTGTGTGCTGTCTGTTGGGCTCCGGGGAGAGACAGAGGGGAAAAAAAAATCATCATCAGTGAAGACGAGGAGCACAGTGTCCAGCCATTAGTTTTGCAAGATGCAGGTTTATCAAGACTGTTATCTCCTGGTCAGTGGAACTATTTATCTGATCTCAGGTTAATATTGGGATCCAACTCATTGATCCCGTTCTGGAGTGTAATGGTTAGAGAACTCCCCTCACAAATGAGAAAACCTGTGTTTGACTCCTGGATGGGGCGAACCCTTAGGCAAGTTTCCTTACTCCACACGCCTCTGTTTACCTAGCAGTAAGTAGGAATCCGTTTGTTAGTCAATTGACAGATTGCTTTCCAGAGGGTAATAAATGCCTTCAAAAAAAAATAATTTGGTCACTCAACCCATGACTGTTTGTGGGACACTGCTGTGCACATTTGGCTTCCGCGTTTCGTCCACACAATATACAGTCAATTCACTTTACAATATATTGTAAATATATATATATGTGTGTGAAGCTTTGAGACATCAGAACAGTGCTATATCAAATGCAAGGATTATTATATTATATATAATATATACAAGGAGACATACACGTATACATCTCCATCCAGATCCCCCGCTGCAATCAGATCCCGGTTGGGGTGGAAAGCGACGGTATTGACAGTGGCCTCGAAAATCAGGTCTTCTGGAGTCTCTCTTATCCTGGGCTCCTTAGGTTCCTCTGTGTCCGAATCATCCTGTCAAAATTAATGGAATTAATCAAAGCCAGCAGTACTCGCGCAGGTTTAATCGAACAGATCCCTCGCTGACCCAAATGTACACAATAATAGTCCTAAAGGGGAACAGGCTGAACTTGATCGAGTTGCTTAAAGGGAACACAGGAGAAAGATGGTTTAACAACTTGCATTTTTATCACACCAATCATGCCAGACGGCATCTCAGAGTGCTTGTGGAGAGTTCCCATCAGGGACATCGCTGCACTTATGTCATTGACTGTAACATTTTCTGTGTCGAAGTGCCCAAATTAAACACAATATTCCCAAACTCATTGTTAACCTGTGCCTTGTACAGCCACACCAGATCTTCTTCAAGAGTATTCTGTCCCGCTGGCTGTGAACCTCAGTTGCCCTATAACTGTCTGTGTAAATTTACCTCTTCTTGTGGGGCCGCTTCCTCTTCATCCTCACTCTCTCTGGAGTTTACGTGTATTTTCTCTGCTTCCTAAACAAAGACAAGTTGAAGAAAATGTAATCATTGGTAATAATTCATACATTTTTCTGGCAGTAAACTTCCTTCTATTTTCAAATGGGATCCTCAATGTTCACATGAACAAAATCAGCTTAGACTGTGAGCTCAAAGTTCCAATGTGGGATTCAAACCCACAACCTTCTGACCCAGAAGCGAGAGTGCTACCACTGAGCCAGGCTGACATCTCATGTTCTCACCATTGAATCTGGTGGACATATAGAAAACGCTTCTCAGCATCACCATCACTTCCGGCCTAAATCCCTTTATGATTTATTTATCGGGCCATGAAAATAAATCAAAAGATGCAAACACTAAAATCAGACAGGACAAAAATCAACAGCAAAAAAAACACTCAAAAATATCAGGATGTTAAACTTTATGACACACAAACACACACATACAGTGGGCACTGTTCAGTTGCAGATTATATATAGTGAATTCAACTGGACTTGTTAAATCCCGTTTTGCCTCTGCTGTACATTTAAGATTTGAATGACAGTTTTGCAAGGCGGACTCGCACTAAAAACTACTACTAATAAATAATAATCCTGGCATTTGATATAGCGTTTTTCACGTCTTCCAGACGGCTCAAAGCGCTTCACAGAATAGACTGTAAAGTGAATTGTGTATTTTGTGGGCAAAACACGGCAGCCAATTGCGCACAGCAGCGTCCAGCAAACAGTCGCGGTTTGAAGTGACCAATTTATTACTGCTTTATTTCCTTGAGGGATTATTATCAGGCGCGTGGAGTAGGGAAAGTTGCCTAAGGTTTCACCCTGGTCAAGTGTCCTGACCAATAAAAAGTACTCGCCCCCCCCCCACACACACACAGGAATAAACAGGGTAAAGACTAGGTTCCAGATTGACTGAGACACATTTCTCTCAGTGGGTTTTTGCAAGTGAGAGACACTGAAGCCATTAATTCGGTTGCCCTCCAGCTCGCACTTCAAACAAAATACCTAACATCCACTCACACAGCACCGGCAGCACCGGCAGTGCCAGGCAGCACCAACAGCACAGGCAGCAACAGGCAGCCACAGGCAGCACTGGCAGTGACAGGCAGCACCAACAGCACAGGCAGCACCGGCAGTGACAGGCAGCACAGGCAGTGACAGGCAGCACCAGGCAGTACAGGCAGTGACAGGCAGCACAGGCAGTGACAGGCAGCACAGGCAGTGACAGGCAGCACAGGCAGTGACAGGCAGCACAGGCAGTGACAGGCAGCACAGGCAGTGACAGGCAGCACAGGCAGTGACAGGCAGCACAGGCAGTGACAGGCAGTGACAGGCAGTTGGGCCCTCACGTTCAGACTAACTTTATCCCCAACACTTTTAAACTTTAATTTTTAAAAAAACTTCGCGTCGTTTCCCCTGAACAGTTGTTAGGCGTTAAGACGAGAGGATCGCAACGTCTAAGCCGTTACTTCTCCGAGACATTTGACCGACCGACGGAGAGTCCCTCCACTGCCCAACTCACGCTCTGAACCGCGGGCGCGGCCATCTTGAGCCCTTCCCCCTCCCCCTCCCCCTCCCAGCAAGCAAAGCGCCACCGGCTGACACACTTCCGGCTCGGACACGTGCCCGGCTCACAAACAGCCCGGCGGTGCCTGCTGGGAGTTGTAGTGCGTCCCGCCCACAAACCACATCTCCCAGCAGGCACCGGGCTGGGCCAGGCTGGCTGTGATGTTGCATTCATTGCCCAGTGGTGACCTGTCATTGTGTGGGTGTGTGTGTGTGTGTGTTGGGGGATATGTACTGTGTATTGGTCAACACACTGAGAGAACGCCCCCTTGTGATTTAGATTAGTGCCATAGGGTATATGATTTATGTCTTATTAAATAAGTACAGGGGGAAAAAAAAAGTTTCTCTCTGATCTCACTCACTGCCTGCTGCACGCTGAACCAAGCCGTTGTTGGCCCAGGTCCGCTCCGAATTTGGAATACGCTGCCGCAATCCCTCCGAAACCCAAAACAATAATAAAACTGGTCATTTGCGATCCCCGACTGTTTGCGGGACGCTGCTGCGCGCGCTCGGCTGCCGCGTTCGCCCACAGGTATACAGTCAATTCACTTTACACTGTGTGTTCTGCGAAGCGCTTCGGGACGTCCTCCCGACGTGAAAAGCGCTATATCAAATGCAAGGATTATTATTATTATTATAATAGTGGCCGATTGGGTCAGTTGCAGCACTCTCCTTTTATGAGACAAAAGACTGTGGGTTTAGGACATTGGCTGTGCGCAAATCGCTGCCTTGTTTCGCCCACAAATTCGCAGTACTTTACAATATATTCTGTGAAGCACTTTGCGATGTTTTGACGACGTAATCAGGCGCTATATCAAATGCAAGGATTATTATTTTTATTATTATAAGGATTTGAGCGCGCACTCTCATGCGGGAGTGCTGTATTGTCACGTGTCTTTCAGACAGGATTTTTAAAGCCCACCTTAATATGTATACATGATCTCAGTTTAACATCTGAAGGACAGCACTTGTAATTGGTGAATCAGAAGGTTATGATAGGGCACAATAATCATAAAAGGAATTAATGGGAAGCGTTAGAAAAAAAAGTATTCTTATGGGATACTTAGCAAACGTGGAAATCAAAAACGGATACCGGTGTTGAGTGTCATAAACTCTTTTAAAGACTTTTTGGCCTCAACGTTGCTACTTCACAAACTCACACAACGATTTCTGATGTTATTGCACAGTTTTATAAAGGCACTGTTTTACCGGCTTTGTTCTACAATGATCAAAAGTTGAAAAAATCCGAGACATTAACCCTGAGCGAGTTGCGGTACATACACTAAGTAACATTTATACATGGAAAGTCAGTCCTCACTCCCTTTAAAAACAAGGTTTCCTTTTTTTGGACTTTAAAGGAACATGAACAAGCATGAACCATCACTCAAATGTGCTTCCTAACATAATCCATGATTATTAATGTACGATCACACCCTGAACAGTGAATGTCCCAGCAAACTACAATGGATCTTGCAGGACATTTTACCTGCTGCAACGCACTGAAATCCTTCGGTGTATCTATCAAGAAGGTTAGTTGTACCCACCTTCCTCACATGTGATGCTTGCGACACACCATAATTCAAGATAACAGCAGCGTAACTGGGATGTTAATTCAGTAACTTTAACATTTAAACAAAAAAATTATCTACACATCTGTCTTTGAGCCTCAGAGAAAGTCAAAGTTCTGTAACACAATCTGGAGCTTCAAAAAACTCTCTCAGCTTGAGATTCACTTCAACGAAGCATGATGTTGTCTGGACCCATTTGTTTGGGCAGCAACTTATAACTCCTATGCTTCGTGAAGAACATCTTTCAACTCCAAGGAGAAGTCAGGACAGGAAAAGCAATCTAATCTAAACAATGTTAAGCTTTCATTTGTCACAACAGATTGACACCTGGGAATAATGGGCATCCAAGAGAGATTATAGAGAGAATAATGTACGACTAGGAATGATTATAGCGAGAATAATGAACATTTAGGAATGATTGATTATACAGAGGATATACATTGAGGAAAATACAGAGGGAATAATAAATAGAATCTAAGTGCAAGTACACAGCATAAAATGGATATCTAGAATTGGTTACAGGCTGTGAGCCAGCAGAAAGATTCAGGCGATTATAATAAACCGAAGCAAATCTTGAGTAGTTTATAATAAATCACCTGAATCGATGAGCAAGATATTTCATGTACACCATTTTTACAGCATACCATTAGTAAAGTGACAAGTCCCAGGACAAGCAATAGAGAAGAGAGCTTAGTCAGCTTGGGGAGGGGCTGGTTTGACCAGCAGATACCCTGACCGACTGATGGCTGGGACACACCCTGTAGTGGACCTGCAATGACAGCCTCAGTGAAAGATTAGCAACTGCAATATCCAGTAGTTCTTGCAAAAGTATCTGATAATAATCTGCAGTGAATTGCCAAAAAGAAAAACACGGTCATTGTGTACTAATATATTAATACCGTTCCACTGTAATAAAATTGTGACAGATCTCTTCCGAGTTCCAGCGAGTTACAACTTTACTCATATTTCCGTTCACAAAATAAAAGGAATGGATTGCTAGCAGTGACTGTGATCTACCTCTTTACCAGTTTGGGCCGCACATTTCTTCCAGTCTCGCCTTGCAACAGAAACAGGACTCACTAGTGCAATTGCGCACAGTGCAAAGCCCTACCATGCAAAAAAGCAGAATCCCATGACTGCTACATTAACAAAATGCTTTAGAGTACCTGCAAAAGAAAGAGTGCATATCCAGCCAGATTGCAGTCCACCACAACGCTTGATTTCCCAATTTTAATAGGTTAAAGTGCAAGGTTAAATTATAATGGAGGGAGGACAATAACCTTCGGATGGCATCTTTACTAAGTGATGACTTTAAAGTCTAATTAGAGAGAACACGAGATTTAGAATCAACAGGAATAAGTAACAATCTTTGCATTTGATGTACCCTTAAATACACCTGACACACTGTGTTGAGAGCTTTGGGACTTCCTCACCAAGTGAAAGACGCTATAGAAATGGAAATTTGTATTGTACTTAACACCCAGAAACTCGGTGTGAGAAAGATAATAATTCTTACATTTAATCCAGTGCCTTTCACACCGGGAGAACGTCTCAAAGAGCTTCACAGGTTTTTTACTGTAAAGTGGGGAGTGACTGTTTTTTTGTGGGCAAATCACAGATTGCTGTACATGGTACTGATACTAAAGAGAGAATCAAACACGAGTGTACACACATGAGAGCTCTGACGTGAATGTAAACAAGAACTCCATCTTTAAGATAATATTAATAATAATTATTATTATCTTTAAGATAGCATTGGAGGTTCGATAGACATGGTAGCTACAAACTTTGAACACCTTTTCTCAGCTGAACCCATTTTCGATGGGGGAAAAAAAGAGCAATACTCTCTCAGGGCACCTGTGCTGACAGGAAACTACCCACATCTCCTGGTGACCAGTTATATAGTGACAGAGATTTCCCAACTGACCTCTCCAGAGGAATGGTGTATGGCACATGACCCAAAACTCAAACAACCAATGGCTATACAACATATACTAAAGTAATGATGCTGAATGTTACTGTGGGTTGTGACAAGAGTTTAAAATCAGGGGTCTTGCTCATTGTTTCACAATGAACTAATGGAGTGCAATACATAACTCAATTTGCTCACAGTTTCTTGATTATCATTGCCTACATTTATCATCATTAAAAAGAGAAGCAAAGTTATTCAGCACTTAACTCAATACTTCTGTAGTCTTATTAACTAAGGAATGAAAGTAAGAGCAGTTATTGAATCCACAAGAAGGCTGTAGGGCAGTGAATCCCACAGCATGATGACAGCAGGACTCCCCTCCACCTTCGGGCCAGTGACAGAGTTGGACATGGCTAAATCATACGTAGTACTGCAGTAGTGTCATATTTCCCAGTCACTGGTATATCTGTCTTGATTAGTCACTTCAGCTTATTAAAATCAACTATAATAAAATAATCCAATACCCTCTACACTGGCCACAATGAACAATATAAGATCCATGTGGTTAGCTATGCCTGCCCTGAATCCACAGCAGCTGTGTTGTGGCAATCTATATGGATTTAATTACATTATGACAAATAAGGACATTTCTTTGGTAAAGGGTAATGAGTTCACACACATACCACTCTGTATCCCATCATGGAGACTTCTTCCCCCTCAGTCTGGCTGGATTCGAACCTAAGTACCAAAAGGTAAAAAAAAAACGAGCACGCTGACCCATATAGAATAAAAAGCTGGTACACACTCCATAATTTGCACTGTAACTAATGGAAGCGTGTATCACAGGATTCCTTTCAAATGCACTTTCAAACACTGAATGTGCCTGGATGAAATCAAACAGCTTATGAACGTCCCATCTCACTCGTGACTTCATTCCCTTTTGTGAACTGCAGCAACATATGGATTATCCAATTACTAATTGGACAAACCAGAATGCAAAGAGCACGAAGGCTGTGGTTCCTTGTGTTCCACTGGGAAGGTCAAATGCAACAGAATCCTCCCAAACCTAAACTCCCCTGAGCTGAACCAGCCTGTAATTCAGAGATTCCCTACACAGCACCACTGTTCATTATTGCATAAAGAGATAGACAAAACAACATCGCTGCTCTCTGAGGCAGAATTTACATTCAGGAAAATAAACCCATTATATCCCAGTCTAAAAAAAGTGAAAAATCCCAGAATCTTTGGAATAAAACATCGATAAAAGTTCTAGCAACAAACAGCAGGAAGTTCTTCTGTCCCCCGTAATGCTACCTATCCAATTTTGAGGTTCACAGTTTGAAGTATCACACTCTTTCCTGCTACTCCATGCCCTCCAGAAATGACAGGCACTTATGAACCCTGATTTTACGAGAGGGGGAATGGGATGCTCTAAGGCACCCTGCAGCTGAGATGGATTAAACCGTGGTTCCGAAGATCGCATCGTCTTGGTCTTGCTCTTCAGTGTCGTCTTCGCTGACTGAGAAATTCCTGTCGTTCGTGCTAATGTTCATGCTGCCGTTAGTGCTGGATAAGAGAGGCAGCTCATTGTCCTCAGGTAAGATGGTATCCAGGTGGGGGATGTGGACACTTTGCAAGCGTTCTGCCTCTGCCATGTAGGACAGCAGATTGTCCAGGAGGGGACGGCTCCGGGTGATTTTGTCCAGCAGCTGATTCCGGTGTCTGAGCTGGGCGATGACACTATCCTTCTCCTGAATGACATTCTGCAGCTTCTGAGCAATGCCCTCGGAGTCGTGGAGTTTTGTTTGCAGGTCGGCGATCTCTCTGCCAAGGCAACCACAAGCTCATTAGAAGAAAGTTAATACCCGTGTCGCAGTGTAACCTAATCCCATCCCCGTTCCCAAGTCCTGCCAACTCCAATCAGAGCATCTCAGGCGCATCGATTGTGTCCCTGATTCCCCCTCTCTCTCACACACACACAGGACAGGAATCGCGATAAAAATGCACATGTACCTGTTTCCCACCTCCAATACTCCCAGGGACTCGCATGCTCACTATCTGTAGACCCCAGATAATAATCCTTGCATTTGATTACAGCGCCTTATCACGTCTTCAAGACATCCCAACGCCCTTCACAGAACACACCGTGTTCACAGAACGCACTGTAAAGTGAATTGACCGTGTATTTTGTGGGCAAAATAATTTTTTATTGATAAATAACAGTAATCAATTTAATATCTACTGTAATATACACAGCAAAAGCAATGCCGAACCTTCCTGTGGATTGAATTACATCATCATTTTAATTACATTACAATTATCTGAGGGAATTGAATTAAACCATTGTTATTATAATTGATCTGAATAAGAATGTACTCGACCATAATATAAATATATTATCTAATAAGTATCTAATATAAATACATCGTAAAATGTAGAACATAAATAAAATATAGAATAGAACATAGAATATAAAATAAATATATAATATAATATAAATATCTAATAAATATCTCACATTAATATCTAATATAAATATCTCACATTAATATCTAATATAAATATCTCACATTAATATCTAATATAAATATCTCACATTAATATCTAATATAAATATCTCACATTAATATCTAATATAAATATCTCACATTAATATCTAATATAAATATCTCACATTAATATCTAATATAAATATCTCACATGATTATATCATGCGATATAAATACGTAATCAATGTCTAATGATGTGCTGGTGGTCAGGGAACCCCGAACCCCCACCCCCGGCCCCGAGCCCCCACCCCCCCCCCCCGAGCCCCCACCCCGAGCCTCAGCCCCGAACCCCCAAACCCGAGCCCCCACCCCGGCCCCGAGCCCCCACCCCCGAGCCCCAGCCCCACCTGTCCTTGCGGAGGCCCAGTTCCCTGACGGCCGCCTGCAGCTCGCGGTCTTTGCTGATGAGCCTCTCGGCCTGCTCCCGCACCGTCCTCTCGGCCGCCTCCAGCCGCCGCTCCAGCTCCGTCACGCGGCGGTGCACGGCCGCCAGGTGCGCGTTGGCCTCTCTGATCTGCACCGAGCTCAGCACCGACATCCCCGCGCCTCTCTCCCCCCTCCCCGGGGGGGCCCCCGCAGCCGGGCCGCGGGTCACACCTGAGCGCGGCCGCCGGTCCGCCCTCCGCGGCTCTGTGCGCATGCTCCTGGCGGGGCCGCCGCGCATGCGCCCTCCTCCTGGCCCCGGCACGCACCGGGGCCGCCGCGCATGCGCCCTCCTCCTGACCCGGCCCGCACCGGGCCCACTGCGCATGCGCCCCCCTCCTGGCCCTGGCCCGCACCGGGCCCACTGCGCATGCTCTCCGATCCCCCCCACCCCCCCCCGCGAGTGACGCGGCCACTCGCCGCTGGGGGGCGCAGCAGAGGCCGCCTTGGCCACATAGGAACAGGAGGAGGCCATTCAGCCCCTCGAGCCTGTTCTGCCACCCTGTGGGATCATGGCTGACCCGCACCTCAGCTCCCGTTGCCCCGTAACCCCCTCGATACCCCGAACCAACGAGCGTCCGCCCACCTCAGCCTTGACACCGTGAATGGATCCGCGGCCGTTTGGGGTGCGGGTGGGGTGGGGTGGGGGTGGGGGGTGGGGGGTGGGGGTGTGGGGGAGAGTTCCAGACTCCCACCACCTTTTCGGGTGACAAACCGCCTCCTAACTTCGCTCCCGAGTGGCTCAGCTCTGATTTTAAGACCTCGTCGCCTTCCAAAGGAAATGGTTTCTCTCGTCGTGTCGGAGTGTGCACCGACACCCCCCCCCCCCTCACCTCAACCTCCACCGCGGTCCACCACCCGGCGCCTCCGCCCGACTGGCATTCTGGAACATTCTCCCTCAATCCCTCCGCCTTGCCCCCCCCCCCCCTCCCTCCCTCTCTCCCTCTCTCCCCTTTCTCCCGCCTGACGACCTTCCTCGTCGGCCGCGCTTACGGTCACCTCCCCCTCCCCCCCACCCCACCCCACCCCTCCGGCTTGGAGTCAGCCTCCGCCACCTGTTAAGTGCTCTGAGGCGCTACCCTGCGCGGAGGGCACTATATAAGTGCAAGTTTTTGTTGCAGTACACGCACAAACCGTGCTTAAGGTGTCCATCGTGGCTCAGTTGGTAGCAGTCTCTGGTTAGAAGGTTCATGTTCATACCTCCCACGTCAGGACTTTGAGACTCACAGTCAAGGCTGATGTTGCGGTGCTCTCGTCTCAGATGGTTAATACAAGTCGAGTGAAGGCTACGTCGGTTTCCCAACTGAGCAGTAAAATACCACACATAATCCCTGCAGGTGAATGAAGCTCATGCACTAATTTAACCTCATTAAATTAAACCGATGCATTTCATGAAGCACCTTATCACATTGTGGAAACGTCTCAAAGCACTGCACAAGATTTACTGTAAAGTGTATTTGTAAGCTAATGTGACAGCCAATTAGCTAGAGTGTCTTGGCCAACGCCGATTTTTTTCTGGGGGGTTGTTGGCCCGGACACAGCGAAAATCGCTTTGCTTTCCAAATAGTGCCGAGGGATCCTTAACGAACTGCGCCAGGCTGACAAATGCATTTTCAATAGTGTTTACTCACTGAGTGTTTACATTGTACAGCAAAGCAAATGGGCTTCTTTCCTGAGCTTATGATCTGTGTTGACGCCGAGTATTCATCTGACTCTTGAATCAGACAATGTTCAGTCTTCTCACTCTTTCAAAGGTCGAAGTCTGTTTGCTGTACCTGCAACCCACAAACACGGACAGCGAAAGGCTGGTATGGGATGAGCTGTAGCTGACAGTCCCTAAATGTGGGTAACATTTCCTATTAACATTTTAATAGCAGCACCAAGAGAAGGGTGCAGTGCGAGCAATCATTCAATGTTTTTTAAATCTCTAATCAGATAACAAGTGGCAGCTAATATCTGTGGACAGTAAATAGACACTGACCCAGAGGGTGACTTTTTAACCCGTGAAAAATTGGGTCCCGAATCTCTCATTTACAAATAGGATCCAAACCCCCACTCAACAGACAGACCCATCTAAGGTACTCTACTTAAGGAACATTTATTTCATGAATCGAGAACAGATGCGATTTACACTCAAATCAATACCAATAGCCTGCTTAACAACATAGATAAATGTACATGGTATCAAGTTTGCTTATTATGTACAACAAAGTGTGTGTGAAGTGACACTGATGGTGTATCTTCCGGGGGGGGGGGGGGGGGGGGAGATGATTCGGAGCACACAAAGCGTCTTGTTTCTCAAATTAAGTTTGGGCAGACCTTGTCGCAAATTCAGCCAATATTGTTGTAAGTTGGAATCCTTGTGTTGTGGGCCGTGCTCCATTGCTCTCTGGTGCTTGACAATGCAGCCGAATGTACATAGCCTTTCGCGTGGTAAACTGACAATATTTCTGCGATGCATTCTAGTCCATCTATCTCTGCGACGTCTTGTGTTTGGTGAGATGTTGAGGAGTCCTCTCACACCCGAGCCACTAGTCGCCGGTGATGGTGCAATCTGTTGTCACAGCAAATGGAAGCAATGTTGTGAGGTTGAACACATGGCAGAGCTCAGTCCACCCTCGTTTCAGCATTGGTTCCTTTCTACGATGCAGCACCAGATGTCCTGTCTAACAAGGTCCATGGTGCAAACTGCAAACTTCTCTTCGACTGTGCCTTTGGTCACCCTCCCACCTCTCTGCCTTCTCTCACCCCTACACCACGGGTCCCGACATCTGACTCTTCAGCGCTTTGGGATGTCTTCCCGAGGTGAAAGGCGCTCTATAAATGTAATTTTGTTGTTGTTGTTGCTTAATTCATCCTGAGGACCAATGTGCGGCAATTTTTTGATGAGATTTAATGAGAAAAAATGGAGTGGAGGATGCTCCTGGTGGATGAAGTCATGTCAACCGGTGGGAATTCTGCTCTGATAGCAGATCATGCCGGAGTAGAGATCCCATGTGATATATTTCCGCTTTCCTTATTCCCGTTACAAATAGCCACACATTGGACCCCAGTTTGATCGCCTCACCTTCAGCGACAGTCAATCAATATCAGCAAAGAGATAACTGTACGAATACCAATGTATTCATAAGTATGCTACTTTTTCGGGGGGAGGGGGGGTCAGACAGGTACCTGACACATGCGGGAACCCCTTTCATCGTGCTTACAGTTCCACCCACATGGAAATTTCCCTGTGTTTAGAATGAAATACATTCTTTCTCTCCGGAGAGACACGCCGAGCTTGACCGATTTGGAGAATAACTAGGCGAGAGCTAAGGTTTTGGGGTCGCTGAGCGTGGGTTGGAGTTACTGCAGGGTTGAAGCAACTAAAACTGCATAGAGAATAAACGCATGGAGAGAGCTGTCTGGCAAGCTTCCCCCAGCATGTCCAGCTAAGACCAACTACCCTACATGTTAGAGTTTTGGCTTCCTCAGGCCCCCCCACCCCCGCGTCAGCATTGGCTCCTTCAGCCCCCGCTCTAGCATTGGTTCCATGGCTTTGTGTGAATTACGGGACAATCTCCTTACGCAAGCAATTAATGGAATAAAAAAAATCAAATTCCATACCTGGGCTGTCAATGTCATCATAGATTTCATAGTCCCTGAAATCCAAAGACCATAAACAGTTACTGATAGAAAGGGACGATAATCAGATTCAGGGCAAATAGTCATTAGTTAGTCTGTCAGTCAGTCAATTAGTCAGTCAGTGTTTCATAACTGAAAGTTCTTATCGTGCAAACGTACAGTGAGTTTTTCTTGGAGCCTGTTTGCACTAAGCACCAGCTGTGCTTCTCTTATATTTAAAGCTTTGCTGCTGTCAATAACACAATCAGTTACGAGTTCTACCGGATCTCATGAATCATGTAGTAAGTAGTGTGAAACTTACCGATGAAGCAGAACCAATCGTGGAGCAAATCCATCTGTGAGACAAAGCAAATCCTCGGACATTAGGTGCTTTCTTGTTACATTCATTTGCCTCACTCCACCTCTTGCGCATAATGTGACTATGTTTATGTCTGGTCTCCCCGTGGCGCAAAATAAGCCCCGGCAACGATTCACAACACAATAAGTTTCAACGAAAGTCTATCATTGTCACGATAGGCAGATGGATCGGCTGAGTTAAGATGCAATAACGACCTTGGCTTAGGAAAGCTATATTTCTTTACTGCAGTGTCTCTGCGCACAGCTATTGTTACACCCTTAGTTGCTGACACATTTATACACCGCGTACATGTGTCAGTACACACGTGTGTGTATGTGTGTGTGTGTGTGTGCGTGCACATATGAGTTTGTGCATGCGTAAGCGTGTGAGCATGTGTGTGCTTTTCGAGTGGATTTGGTTGTGTTTCCGTGTGTGTGTGTGGGGGGGGGGGGGGGAGTCAGTACGTACATTTGCCCTCCGAGTTCCGACAAATTGCTTGCCTCTCGTTGGTGAACTCGATCACCTCCAGCATTTCACCAGGTCTCACCAGCAGATTCTTCCCACCCCCTTTCCTTACACCTGTTTTGGGATCCACCACCACCAGAGCAAGCACCTTGATCTCCCCTTCATACTGTTAGAAAGTGTCCGCGCAACACAAATTAGACATCGCTCTTACACGCAAACACACCGTCTGTCTCATCAATCACACATACCTACACGCACACACAGAGAAACACCGCCTGTCTCATCAATTGGCACCCACTAACACACACACAAACATCTACACACACACACACACACAGACACACCGCCTGTCTCATCAATTGACACACACACGCAGTCTGATTCATCGATCGCACACACCCTCACTCAGACACAGTCCATCTCGTTAACTGTACACACGCTCGGACACATTGCCTGTCTTATGAATCGTAAACGTAAAAACCATTGCACAAGAATCATTTCCTGTCTCAGTAACGATGCAGTGGTGTTGGGAGATGCGATTCCGAAAGCAATGGTGATTGCTGCTCTGTGTGGGATAGTGCATCGCTGAGATCTTACTTCAGCTATTCTCTGTTTACTAAATGTGGCATCTCGGAGCCTTAACAGCGCCTTAACCTGCCGCCGAGCTGGGTGGGGGTAGGAGCTGACCGTAAGCACGGTCGAAGAGGAAGGTCTGTAGTCATGATCTGAAAGAGGGGAAGGAGGGGACAAGGGGGAGGGATTTGGGGGAGAGAGTTCCAAAGCTTCGGGGCGGAGTGGATGAAAGCCAGACAAGCTGGCTAAGGTTGACGAGATTTGGTATGGTGGACAGAACGGCACAACAACAACAACAAGATTCCATTTATAAAGCGCCTTTCACGTCAGGAGGACGTCCCAAGGCGCTGCACAGTTGGGTCATGACCCGAGCAGGGGGGAAATGGTCAGGGTGAGGGGAGGGAAGGGAGGGAGCAAGGAGGGGGGAAATGGTCAGGGTGAGGGGAGGAAAGGGAGGGAGCGAGGAGGGGGGAAATGGTCAGGGTGAGGGGAGGGAAGGGAGGGAGCAAGGAGGGGGGAAATGGTCAGGGTGAGGGGAGGGAAGGGAGGGAGCGAGGAGGGGGGAAATGGTCAGGGTGAGGGGAGGGAAGGGAGGGAGCGAGGAGGGGGGAAATGGTCAGGGTGAGGGCACAGTGTGGGAATGGTGTCTGATTATTGAAAGATGACGCGTGTGTATGTGTCGGACTTTCCACTCACTTTAAATCTCTTCCTGAATTCTCTCTCCTCTTTCTCCATTTTTTTCTTGGATTGTTTTTCAGCTTTGATGATGGAGGGCAGGCTTTAAAAACAGAGAGAAAAAACATTCCAGGGAGTCCCGCAAACGGCTCAATCTTTACAGTGATCACAGAGTTAAAATGAAGAGTGTGTCGTTTATCATATTTAATCCTTGCATTTAATATAGCACCTTATCGTGTTGTTGAGTCGTCTCAAAATGATTCACAGGGTTTTACAACAACAACAACAACTTGCATTTATATAGCGCCCTTCACACAGGGTAGCGTCCTGGAGCGCTTAAAGATCACAGTTAAAGATTTACTGTGAAGTGTATTAACTATAGCGGTGTACATTTCAACATGGCAGTCAATCTGCACAGCATTCCCACAAACAGAAATGAAGCGAATGGTCAATTTTATCTGACGGATTGTTGGCCAGGACACCGGGAGAAACTCCCTTCTCTTTTCGAATAGTGCCACGGAATCTTTCACATCCACCTCCTGAACAGGCAGACGGGAGACCTCAGTTTAATGTCTTTTTGGAAGGACAGCCAATTGGCACACCGCAATGTCTCACAATGCAGCCCTGAGAAGCAAATGAGAAATTTTATCTGGGTGATTGCGCCTAATCAGTTATTCTTGGCCTAATTTGGACGATTGCTGTTTGGGATGCAAGGCTGTGTTTAGTAGAGGATTAAAGTCTCCTGCCTATGGCATATGGTGGGTGTATCCAACAGGCAGCACGATGAACACACCTGATATCTGGTGGCGGAGGAGGAAATTCATCCGGAATATCCACGTCATCATATACATCTTCTAGGAGACAGGCAAAGGGATGACGGAATAAAAAATCATTAGACCATCACTGTACACTTCCACTCACTCCACAAATCTTCCTAAAAAGACCTTTTTTTGCGTGAATCTTCAGTTGGATCCACAACAATAATGACTAACTGAGCTGATTATTAGACCTCTGAAGTGGAAGAAAAAAGTATTCCACAGACCGTGAATTGATAAATAATAATAATCTTTGCCTTTGATATAGAACCTGCCTCAAAGTGGCTCACAGAAAATTGCTGTTAAGTCCAGTGACTATTCATAGGCATATGTGAAAAGTCAATTAAAATTTAATGTTGTGTGAACAGTTGAAAAACGGTATTAATTTCAGAACTTGATTTCAAGCCAGTTTTTTTTTTAATAGTACTCAAAAACAAGTGAGGGAATCATCAGCCAAAATTCTGCAGGATTTAAGGCAATGATCTTAAGCCTGAGAGTATGAGAAATCTCAGTCCCAAACTATTACCAGTGCTGTATGTCCAAAATATATATTGCATTGAATCAAGACCAAGTGCCTTCAACTCCTGTGGTACTGTATTGTTTATGGTGCTCTTCATTGAGAAGCTAGCGTTAAGCGTGTTCTGCTGCGGGAAACAAGAGGTGTCTTACCTCCGATCTTGTTGTTTCGTTTGGGGGGAGGTGTGGGAGGTGGGTTACAGTGCAACTTTTGGTTTCTGCTCATCACCCCCACTGGCTCCACATCATCATACTCATTGTGTTCCAATTCCTCCAACCTACGCACAGTGAGGAACACACTCAACCAGCCATTCCCACTTCACAGCAGCTCCCACCTGCCAACTGCAGCTGCTCTTCTCTCAGAGCGAGTAAGGGATCAAGGGAATTTGTTGCATTTGAACCAGGATTATTCCCGGAGATGCATTCGGTGAACGTTGAACTCAGCGCCTTGCGGCCTTTCCCTTCAATGATGAAATAAATGCACAGGGCATTTCCAACTTCATACATTTAGTAACGATGGGTGAGCGGAATAAGCTATTAACCTCACTTTGCCGAGAGAGAGAGGATTCTAAGGTGCCACTATTTTAATGAGTAAGCTGTCTCCAGTTTCAATTTTGCTTTTGTAGAGACTAAACACCAGCATAGACTAGATGGGTCGAATGGCATATTTTTGTGCTATAACGATCCATGTTATTCTACGTTAACAAGTGAATTAAAAAGGTTAACATAACCTTTAAGTATGAGCGGAAAAGGCAGGTCGAGATTTAAAGGGGGACGATTTGAAAAACAGGTATTTACCCAGAGGGTGATTTAAATGTGCAAATTCTCTCCCTCCGTCACAAATTACTCTTAAGGCAGAGTCCAAAAATTCATTTAAAAGTGAACAAAATAAATGGAAAATTAGGAATAATAAAGGGGATGGCAGAGCGAGCAGGAGAGTGGGTTCAGCCAAACTTGACGAGTAAAACACCAGCACAATGAGGAAAGCACAGAGTTGCCTGACCAAATGGGCTGTATCTGTGCTGGAACTCTCTATATCACTCGGTCAATGGTGAGACAGGTCACCGGCTGTGACGTCTTTGAGCCACGTGAGGGCAATGCATTGCCACATCATCAGGTGCTCAGACAGGGATACTCACATGGAGTCGACGCTGTGTCTGCCCTGCAGAGTCGGCAGAGGTGGTACACGGATAAGTGGCGCGATCTGGAGCTGTCCTGCAGAAATCACAAGATCAGAAGTGACAGGCGGGCAGTGATTAAAGTATTGTAATGAAGCAATTAAACATTTTGTTATACAATCAACATAGACGGTCAATTTACTTTACGTCCTCCCGACGTGAAAGATGCCATACTAATGTGTTGTTGTTGTTTATAGTATATTCTGTGAAACTCTTTGAGACATAACAATGACGGGATAGGGCGCTATATCAAATGCAAGGATTATTATTAACAGATCTAGTCGTTTTCTTCCTCTGCTCGAGATATCTGAACAAGGGCAGACAAAGTTAAAATTAGAGCCTTGCGGTTAGATACTGGAACACGGAACATTTTTTTGCACAGGGCTTGTGGGGGACTGCTACAAAAGCCCTTAGATACCGAATATTTTGAGATGTTTAAAATGGAAGATAGATGGATAGATGGATAGATACTTAGGAAGTAAAGAATTTCAAGGGGTAATGGAGAAAAGATGGGGAATAAGGGTTTAAAAGATCTGATTGAAAGGGATTATAATTCTAAAAAGAAACTCAGAACAAACTTGATGGACCAAATGATCCAGGCACCTCGGTCTCCATTAAAGATCCCTGACTCCATAAGAAAAAGAGAAGGGAATTTCTCCCACTATCCTGGCCAACAATCTCTCAGATTAATTAGTCATTCATTGGATAGATATTTGTGGAGGACAAATTTGCAAGGCTATGGGGAGAGCACGGAATAGTGGGATTAATTTGGACAACTCTTTCAAAGAGCCAGCACGGGCACGATGGGTTGAATGGCCTCCCCTGTGCTGTATAATTCTATGATTTTATGGATTCACGTCATGCCTGTTTGTAGGTTGTCACTGCCTGCGAAATGGCTGCTGCATTTGCATGCAAAACACAATCGATACAACAATACCCAGTTCAGCGGTTTGAGGTGTCTCGACGTGATAAGGGAGCTGTGTGAGAAGGCGAGGATCCTATTTACCTGCTAGCTGTACTGGGCAAGGGCTTGGGTGCGTTTCTGCTTCCCTCCTGTATTTGTTCAGACGCACAGAAGGCGGTCGCTTCGGTTTCAGTGGCCTTGGCCCGATCGCGGTGGGCAGGGGACGTTGGTTGGGAATTCCAGCTTTCTTCTTTACCGTTTGATCCCTCGACTCTTTCATCGCAGCCAGCTGTGAATCGGCTCTCTCTCTTTGCGCTGCAAGCGTTTGCTGTAACTTTAGCTGCACTGCCTTTACCCCGAGTTTAGTACAAACATCTAAGTTAGGAGCCTGATTTGGCCAGTTCCCTTTAGGAATTTCTTGCATTCTCCTGGTGGATCTGAGGGGAGGGGTGGCTCCATCCCCACCTGAGCTAGCTGGGCTCGCTGCTTTGAAGCCTTCATTCTCTGTCTGCGGAGTGTTTGAGGCCTCTGACAAAGATTTCAGCACCGACTGAATCTTCGATCCCGGTTTGGCTCCTGGGCTCAATCCCAAAAATAATTTATTGCCATTGTTTTCCAAAGGAGATTTCTCAACATCGAGCCTGAGTCCTGTAGGAGTCTTGAGAGGAGATCCTCCCTCGGCCTTAGCCCTTGTTAACTGGTTTCCACTCAAAGACGAGTGTGATTTCACCATTAGAGTAGCTGGCGCCCTGCCACTGACAGAGGGCTGAGTGCTGTGAATCTCTCGGGCAGGTATTTTGGGCGTGAACTGTGCCATCAAAGCCCGTCCGCCTTCTTTCTCCTGGAGGAAGTCAACACATGGACTCGAAAGCCTTGGAAACCTTCACAGTCACTGCTCCAAGTCGGATCTGCCTTTGTCTCGACACAAAGAAGACTCACCTCAGGACCGTCAGTCACTGAACAGTCTTCCAAGTAACCAGACAACTCAGCTCACTTCCTATTGCAAAGCTTGCTCGACACAGATATGAAACCACAAACTGATACAAGTACCTTACTGACCATCTATACGGTGCATAGTCAGAGGCTTTGTGAAGCTTTTATTGGTAAAATTGTACCAAGGACCCACCCACTTGTATCCAAGTCAGATCAACACTAAACACGTTCAATTCCTGATTCTCAAATAGAAGTTTGAGGAATAATAATAATCCTTAAAATTGACATAGTGCTTAGAATGTCAAAAACATTTCAACGTTTCTCTAATGTATAGTGACTGTGTATCTGTAACAAAACACAGTGGCCAATTTGTACAAAGCAACATCCAACAAAACAACAAAAACAAAATTACATTTGTATAGCGCCTTTCACGTCAGGAGGACATCCCAAGGCGCTGAAAGCCATGGAAAGAATGACTAATTTTATCTGTGGAGTCCTGTAGCTCAGTGGTTAGAGCACTCGCTTTGCAAGTGAGAGACCTGAGTTCAATTCCAGGCAGAGGGCGAAACCTTGGGCAAGTTTCCTTACTCTACACAGAGCCTAATAATAATCCCTCCAAAACCAAAAATAATAATAAATTGGTCATTTTTCAATCTGCTACTGTTTGTGGGACATTGCTGTGCGCAATTGGCTGCCGCATTCGCCCACAAATATACAGTCAATTCACTTTACAGTGTGTTCTGTGAAGCGCTTTGGGACGTCCTCCCGACGTGAAAAGCGCTATATCAAATGCAAGGATTATTATTATCTGGAGGATTTTGGCTGGGACACTGGTAGAGATGACCTAGGGCAATTGAAGAATAGGGAAATGGTCAGCTCAGATACAGGGACAGATATCGACAGAGAGAGGAATTTTTTTGTATCACACTGCTTATTTAAATGTGATCAATTTGCTGCTGTGAACACAAGGGATGATTTGCTCTCGACTGACTCACGTTTGAAGATCTGGACAAGGAGCCAAGCGTGTGGTTTCCTTTACCTCGCAGCTGAGCGATGTGAACCTGGCCACACAGGGCAGGAAGCCACACTCACCCACACATCTCTGTTGTCATGACTGCATTGACTGTCAGCCCATGTTAATGCTGAATGAGTGGGCTCAATATGGTCAGGTTACAGTCCTGTCCGGGAAGAGAGAGCAGGAAATGAATATGAGCTAATTCATCTGTGGTTTCAAGGCTCCGAGACTCTACCCAATGTGAAGGTGCTATGTGATGATAATAATCCTTGCATTTTGATAAAGCGCATTATCACATTAATGCAGTCTGTCTCAAAGTTCTTCACAGTATATACTTTGTGCAGTCCTGTAGCTCAGTGGTTAGAGCACTCGCCTCGCAAGCGAGATACCTGGGTTCGATTCACCGCAGGGTGAAACCTTAAGCGAGTTTCCTCATTTCACACGCCTGATAATCATCTCCCAAGAAGAACAAAAAAATATAATAATAAAATTGGTCACTTCGATCCACGACTGTTTGTGGGAACGCTGCTGCGCGCAATTGGCTGCCGCGTTGCGCCCACAAACATAGTCAATTCACTTTACAGTATATTCTGTAAGAGCTTTATAGGACAATACCGTAAAGCGTAGTGACTGTGTATTTTGCAGGTGATGGTTTGCTCCACCATGTGATGTCCTCTCCCATCCATTGCGACCCTCTATCTCTCTTTTCTCCTGTCCCCACTATCGGACTGTCGTACCCCCTGGACCAACTCGTAGCTTTCTCAGCTCCAGCCTGGACAAAGGGAGTTTCAGGACAGAGGTCCAGAGAGCGGATACTACCGGCTGAAGGCTTGGCCGCTGTTGGTGAGATAGAGACAGTAAGGAATGAGCAGCAAAGGTAGGTAGGTACGGTCGGGAAAACAGAGCTGGGGGAGATGCAAAGGTTGGATGGGGGAAGAGCGCGAAGGGATTTGAAGGTCGGCGCGAGGGTCTCGCTTAAGAGTCAACTTAATTTGAAATAAAAACAGAAGTGGCTGGGAACACGCAGCAGGTCAGGTCAGGTAGGATCTATGGAGAGAGCGCGAGAGAGAGAGTCAAAGTGGGTTAACGTTTCAGGTCGATGACTTTTCATCAGAACAGTTGAGTTGCGACGAAAGGTCATCGACCTGAAAACGTCGACTCGCTTTCCTCTCTCTCTCTCTCTCTCTCCATCTCTCCAGGGAGTCCTGTAGCTCAGTGGTTAGAGCACTCGCTTTGCGAGCGAGAGACCCGAGTTCAATCCCCGGCCGGTCAGGGCCAAACCCTGGGCAAGTTTCCTCACTCCACACAGAGCCTAATAATAATCCCTCCAAAAAAAAAAAAAAAACCCCCAAACAATAATAAATCGGTCATTTTCAATCCACGACTGTTCGCGGGGACGTTGCTGCGCGCGATCGGCCGCCGCGTTCGCCCGCAAATACACAGTCGATTCGCTTTACAGTGCGTTCCGCGAAGCGCTTCGGGACGTCCTCTCCCGACGTGAAAAGCGCTGTATCCAAATGCGAGGAGCATTATTATTATTATTATTATTATTATTATTATCATTAATTATTATTATTAATGAGTGTGGGATTACAGACGCCGCCCGTCCTTGTCAGACTCCGGGCACCGCGAAGCGCTCCGGGACACACCAAGTGCAAGTTGTTGTTGTTGTTGTTGATGTTGTTGTCGTTGTTGTGGTGGTTGGTGGTGGTTCCCAGTCACTTGTGTCTCTATTCCAGGGAATGGCAACGTTGGGATGGCAGGAGGGAGGGGAGGGAGGGAGTGACGTCCGTGGAACAGCCAAAGGGGCGGCTCCTCGGGCTCTTCCCTTCTCTCCACTCCCTCCCTCCCCCCCCTTCCCCTTCCCCCTCGGCACTACCGCCGCCGCCGCCGCCGCTCGAGCCGCCGCCACCGCCGCCATGACCTCCGCCCCCGGGGATCCTGTCACCGCACTGGTGGTGAGTGAGGGGGGGGAGAGGCCGAGGGCTGAGGGGGGGAGAGGCCGACGGCTGAGGGGGGAGAGGCCGAGGGCTGAGGGGGGGGGAGAGGGGGGGGAGAGGCCGAGGGGAGAGGGGGGGAGAGGCCGAGGGGGGAGAGGCCGAGGGGGGGAGAGGCCGAGGGGGGGAGAGGCCGAGGGGAGAGGGGGGGGGGAGAGGCCGAGGGGAGAGGCTGAGTGGGGGAGAGGCCGAGGGGAGAGGCTGAGGGGGGGAGAGGCCGAGGGCTGAGGGGGGGAGAGGCCGAGGGTTGAGGGGGAGAGAGGCTGAGGAGAGGCCGAGGGCTGAGGGCTGAGGGGGGGGAGGCCGAGGGCTGAGGGCTGAGGGGGGGAGAGGCCGAGGGGAGAGGGGGGGAGAGGCGAGGGGGGGGGGGGGGGAGAGGCCATGGGCTGAGGGCTGAGGGGGGGGAGGCCGAGGGGAGAGGGGGGAAGGCCGAGGTGCAAGGTTTATTATTATTATTATCTGGGTCAGGTACCTTGTCATCTTATTTGCCCTCACCCCGTGGCGTACCCGCCCCTCAATTTCTGATTCCCATCATTAGATATTGCTTGCCCCTGGAAATTCCACTTGTGTTTTGTGAATTCTTGCTCCACCATCAACAAAGAAGTGGCTTAGAAACAGCTGCCTTCGCTTCACATTATTATGTCATCCTTGGAATTTTCCCACCATCTCCTGCTGTGCCAGAGACTAAAGAAGTTGTCTCACCCCTTGCAATGGTTTTGATCTTGACCTCGAACCCAAGAGACGTGTGTTGGGAGGCGGACAGACCCACGTCACTGATAATGATTAGCCTTATCTCCTAGAGTCCTCCATTGAAATTCATAATTCTTGTACAGTTCTCCACTCTCTTTAACTACTTTTCGTTGGCTGTGAGAATCTGCTGCAGTGGTCAGTTTATAACATACTAGGCATAGGGGAGAAGGGAGTCATCGTTTGAGTAGACAGTTAATTTTTTAGAAAACTGCACAGATAGGCTCAATTTCCCTGTCTGCACTGTAATATTCTATGATTCTACATTAGTGCAGGATCTGTTGCCTCACTTTTTTATAAGTTCATACTGACCCCCATACGTTTATACGGAGATAAAAATACTGATTGCTGGAAAACAAGCAACAGAAATGGTGGAAGCGTACAATGAGTCAAGCAGCTTATGAAAGAGTAAGCAAATAAAATTGCAGGGGCGACTGTAATCTGTCCTGATAAATGGTCACACCCGAAACATTAGACTTCCAGACACTGATCGACAGAGGAAACGTTTCCTGCGGCTTTTGCGCACAAAAATGCATTGTTGCTTTGCTCTCATGGTTACAAGCTCCAGAGATGTTTCCCGTACAAGACACAGCATGAATCTGATTGACATCAGTCTGAGAAAATAGGCTGCACTTATGTCGCCCATATGGAATTCACAGCCTGCAGTGACTAGCAGAGGTGGGCTGGAACTTGATTACATGACTAACGGAGGCTTACAGAGTAATCTACACGGACAAGTTTTTTTAAATTACTCTAGTAAAAGGTTTAAAAGTTATCTACCTTGTTTAATACAAACATCACTTCTAACACTTACCACAACAGTGCCTACTGGAGTCATGATAAGAATAAGAATCCTTGGATTTGATGTAGTGCTTTATCGCATCGATGAGACATCTCAAAGCATTTCACAGAATGTATCGTAAAATTAATTGTCCACTGTCATCCACCCTTTTTGATCCATTCATTAATCATCAAAGGAGATAGACTTGGAGTGCTCAGCAGATCCCATTAACAGCCAGTGATATGAATGATCTATTTTTATCTGGGCCAGGATACTGGGAGAAACTACCTTCTTTCAAAATAGTGCCACAAGATCTTTAACATCCACCTGAACAAACAAATAATAATAACATTGCATTTGTTAAAGCGCCTTATCATGTGGATGAGACATCTCAAAGCCCTTTGCAGAAGACAGTGTAAAGTGAAACAAAAACAGAAGTCGCTGGGAACATTCAACATTCTGACGAAGGATCTTGGACCCGAAACTCTGACTCACGTTCCTTTCTCCTTAGATGCCTGACCTGCTGAGTGCTCCCAGCGACTTCTGTTTTGGGTTCAGATTTCTAGCATCTCCAGTATTTTGAGTATAGTGTAAAGTTAATTGAATGTGTATTTATTTTTTGGGCGAAACGGTTAGAAGGGATGTTTGTATTAAACGAGGTAGATAACTCCTAAACCTTTTACTGGAGTGATAAAAAAAATCTGTAAGCCTGTTAGTCATGTACCAGCCCAACTCTGCTAGTCACTACAGGCTGTGAATTCCATACAGTCGACATAAGTGCAACCTGTTTTCTCATACTGATGCCTGTCAAGTTCATGCCCTCCTACCTCTCTGAACTCCCTCCTACCTCTCTGACCTGCTCACTCCCTACGAGCCTGCCCGCTCCCTCCATTCAGTGGGCTCCGGTCTGCTCCATGTCTCCCGCCCGACCTGCCCTACCATCGGTGGCCGGGCTTTCAGCCTCTCTGCCCCCACATTCTGGAACTCCATCCCACGGTCCCTTCACATCGCTTCCTCCCTCGCCTCCTTCAAGGTCGGTCTCAAGACCTTTCTTTTCGACCGTGCCTTTGGTCTCCCTCCCACCTCTCTGCCTTCCCTCACCTCTACACCCCCCACCTCCCCCATGCTCAGGCTCCGACACCTGACCGTTAGCGCTTTGGGACATCCTCCCGACGTGAAGGGCACTCTATAAATGTAATGTTGTTGCGTTGTTGTTGTTGAGTGAGAAAAACCAAGGCTGACGAGGAGCCGGTAACCATGAGTGACCCTCACTAATAAAAAAAATGCATTTCAATAGGGTTAAACGTGCAGTGCTATACACCACAGTTAATAATAATAATCCTTGCATTTGATATAACTCCTTATCACGTTGTCGAGGCGTCCCAAAGCGCTTCGCGGAATACACTGTAAAGTGAATCGACGGTATATTTTGTGGGCGAAACGCGGCAGCCAATTGTGCACAGCAGCGTCTCCGCAAACAGTCGCGAACTGAGTGACTAAATTGTTATTATTTGATAATAATTATTAAATAATTATTTATTTAATATCAAGGCCCTCCACGGCCGTGCTAACTAACCCCCTTCCTACGTGGAGTCCTGTAGCTCAGTGGTTAGAGCACTCGCTTTGCAAGTGAGAGACCTGAGTTCAATTCCAGGCAGAGGGCGAAACCTTGGGCAAGTTTCCTTACTCCACACAGAGCCTAATAATAATCCCTCCAAAACCAAAAACTATAATAAATTGGTCATTTTCAATCCACGACTGTTTGTGGGACATTGCTGTGCGCAATTGGCTGCCGCGTTCGCCCACAAATATATACAGTCAGTTCACTTTACAGTGTGTTCTGTGAAGCGCTTTGGGACGTCCTCCCGACGTGAAAAGCGCTATATCAAATGCGAGGATTATTACCTCTGTGATCTTCTGACTCCCTCACCCTCCCCTTGGGGGGAAGAGGGGATTAACTCACACAGAGAGAGAGAGCGAGCGAGAGAGAGAGAGCGAAGCCTCACCCGTTGACCTCATGGAGTTATGTCAACGGGATGGAATTTGAAGGCAACGCCGGAGGCGAAAGTGACTGAAGTGACTGTTATTCGCAACGTTTCACAGATACAAACAACAACAACAACATTTGTGTAGCGCCTTTCGGGGCGGAGCGGGGGGGGGGGGGGGGGGGGGAGACGGCGAGCGCTTGAAAGCACAGCCGAAGAGGAGGGTCTCAAACACTGAAGCCGCGGCTTTAACTTGACTTCCCAGGGACTGAGGGCAGCTTTAACTCCCCCCCCCACCACCTCCCCCCCACACACCACCACCCCCCCACATCTCCCCCAACACCACCCCCCCCACCACCTCCTCCTCCCCACATCTCCCCCCAACACGACCCCCCACCACCACCTCCACCTCCCCCCATCTCCCCCCCACCCAACAACACCCCCCCCCACCCCCTCCACCTCCCCCACTCCATCTCCCCCCCACACACCACCACCCCCCACCACCTCCTCCTCCCCCCATCTCCCCCCCAACCAACACCACCCCCCTCCACCTCCCCAGAGAGGCGACCTCCCTCTCCACACAGCCACGACCTCTCCTCCCACCCCCTCCCCCCCACATACACAACCCGAGCCTCTACCACCCTCCCCCTCCCCCACAGCCCAGTCCGGCCTCTCCCCTCATCCCCGGCCCCCCTCAGCCTCTCCCCCCCCCCCTCAGCCCTCGGCCTCTCCCCCCCCCTCCCCTCGGCCTCTCCCCCCCTCTCCCCTCGGCCTCTCCCCCCCCCCTCTCCCCTCGGCCTCCCCCCCCTCAGCCCTCAGCCCATGGCCTCTCCCCCCCCCCCCCTCGGCCTCTCCCCCCCTCTCCCCTCGGCCTCTCCCCCCCCTCTCTCCCCCCCTCTCTATGATGGAAATTAAACATTATAAAGTCATTAAATATGATAATTTCCTAATCTGTAGCTATACTAATTATGCCCAGTGGAGGCTGAATGACACGTTAATAATGACACGTGCCTATGTGTCTGTCTGAAATGCTTGGAAATAGTTTTGTAATTTAGCTTCTGACCTCATATTATTTGTTTGCTTGTTCTCTGCTAAAGGCGTGACACTGTTTCTCTGCTGTGGAATATGAGTAAACAGGGGAGGAGAAATGTCTTTGTGATTCACCAGCGATACCAGAGGTTTCAATGTTCTGTAAGAAAATAGGTAGAGGATAAGGAGTATTTCTGATATACCCATCCTTTTTGGTTGCAGAAAAATCACAGAATGTTGTCAAAGGCTTTGAGTGATTCTTTAAATATCTAGGAGTTGGATATTAACTTGGTGGTGTCAAACAGGCTCTGTACCATCTTACATATAACTTTGATTCAGATTTATCAGTCAGTTAATAAATTAGCTTGTGCAAACAGAATTCGTTAATTACCTTTCTGGACACCGGCCAACAATCTTGTTTATCGCTGATCAGCTCTCCCCTGCTCTTTCTTCCTTTATAGCACTGCAAAAAATGCGCACCCACTTTACACCTTTACAGTGAATCCATGGAGTCCTGTAGCTCAGTGGTTAGAGCACTCGCTTTGCAAGTGAGAGACCTGAGTTCAATTCCAGGCAGAGGGCGAAACCTTGGGCAAGTTTCCTTACTCCACACAGAGCCTAATAATAATCCCTCCAAAACCAAAACAATAATAAATTGGTCATTTTCAATCACGACTGTTTGTGGACATTGCTGTGCGCAATTGGCTGCCGCGTTCGCCCACAAATATACAGTCATTCACTTTACAGTGTGTTCTGTGAAGCGCTTTGGGACGTCCTCCCAACGTGAAAAGCGCTATATCAAATGAAGGATTATTATTATTATTATTATCCTGTGAAATACTTTTGAGACATCCTCCTGATATGAAGGGATTATTATTTTTGAGAAAAGCCAAGCCGTGGATTTTTCTTCTGTGACAAGTCAGTGCCTGTCTTAAACTGACTCTCTTTTCTCCCTCTGTTTCTGCATTTATTTTTGAGCCAAAGACTTGATTGATAAACCTCATGTGAATGAATCAGGTAATGCTCTCTTTGGTCAAGGGAAGCAAAACGTAGCTCCAATTCCATCCCCACGCTGTTTTGTTCATTACCTGAGCTCTTATTTTTATTTGGTGGGTCATCTATCTTTGGCTACGTGACACCTCGAGCTCAAATTTGGATTCCAAGTAGCCGATAAGATTTCTTTTAATTGGGAGGACTGTTTGTGGGACACTGCTGTGCACAATTGGCTGCCGCGTTTCACCCACAACATATGCAAATTTACAGTATATTCTGCAAAATGCTTTGAGACGTGTCGAAGACATGATAAGGCACTATATCAGATGCAAGGATTATTTTATTATTATAGACTGAGTGACCAGGCTGGCTCAGACACTAATGGGTCACAAACATTTTAAGGAAACGGACACTGAAGCTGCCTGTCTGAGGGCTGGGAGAGGCTTTAAATCTCCGGCATATTTAACCCTGTTGCTCAGAGCCAGGAGCCTTGGACCGCTTGCAGTACGGGGACATCTCGCTGGTTCCCTGCCCGACAAAGAAGCTCCCCTGCCGGGCAACCCTTATTCAAAGCACTTACGCTTTCAGGTTACCGATGATAAATGGCCAAGTAAAGAAACAGCAATTCAAAACCAGATGTTTTGTAAAGAGTTAGGAAAACCTTTAGACAAGACACCTACCCTTATAATGGCTTATCATTTGTTACAACATTCTTGACATCACCTCAATTAATAGATTTCCATTCCAATACAGGATTAAAATAGATTAGCCATGTCTCATGTCTCTCACATTCTTGGAGTGGTTTATATGAAAAAAATTCAATTGCATATCCAGGTCAGATCTTTTTATTGGCTATTTGTAGAAATGAAGGCAGCCTTGCATAGAGTAGAATTAACATTACAGTACATTGATCCACTTCATTTTTTAAAAAAACATTTTGTTCCCTTGAGTCTCTTGGAATAAAAAAAATCTGTTCTGTAAAAAACACACCAGTCAGCATTATGGAGTGTTGAATATTTGTGTGAAATACACCCTCTTCTGTTCAGACAGTCCATCCTGAATGGCTGCTGAGGTGTTAGTTATTTCACTGCAACCAACTTGCTCCAGTCAGTGAAGTAATTGAAGCCAATAAAATGTTGCCCAAACACATGATCTAGATCAGCGAGCAATTCCAATGTAGCCTTGAATAAGCCTCATTATTAAGTTAGTTCTTCATAGCCCCCAAGATTGTTTCTGTACAGACAATAATGCTGCACCATGAAGAGAACATCAAACATCATCGAGAACAATCCAAGACCAAACTTTGTTGGGTCCCCAAAAATCAGTTTCCACTCTCCTGCAATAAAACACAGATTCATTCAGGTAGGAAGTTAAAAGCATTGGTACAGTCTAAACAGTCCTGGTCTTTCCAAGCACTCTGAGACACTATCCTGCATGAGGGGCACAATATAAATGCAAGATGTTGCAGTTTGCCCTGTATTTTAGTGTGAATTATCAGCACAAAAGCAATTATGCTTTGTTGGTTTGCATTTCATTCCTGGACATAGAATCATACAGATTCTATCTTGTGTATTCTCTAGATGGACAAATAACACTGCCCCAGCAGATCCCAGTAAATAGAGATTCTGCCCATCATTTGGAGGCATTAGAATTATGACAAGAAATCCATGGCATCTTAATGCCGGCAGATTGTAAATAATGGGAACTGCTGTGCAAGTTGAGGTTTAGAATACAGTCCCGATTGTGAAGAACAGAGATTATGGGTTCATCTACTGGCTGGTTTATGACCTCCAGTAATTTCAGGTATTTAAAGTTCCTTGCTGATGCATCTCATGTAATGGGATGTAATCCTCTTGTAGCTCTCACAAGAAGGCACTAGGAAAAGCCAACAAATGCAGTACAGCTTAGCTGACATTTGGGGAAGAGAGAACAAAGCAAAAATTTCAAATGGAGGCAGACACATGGTGTACCACTGACAACAGTGTGTGGGACTAAAGATTTGGTGTTCTGAAATGAGTGGATTGTGGGATCAGCCAGAGTCCCCAACGCGCACTTGAGAAACTATTTAACTCGCCACACTGGTCTGATAAAACAATCGTGAACTGAACATTTTATTTTCAAGGTATATTGACCATCAATACCAACCATTGTTGTACGATTGCAGAACCATCTGCAAAAGGCTAAAACTGCCCCCAGTAAAATCCAAGAGCACATTGCCAATACTCCAACCAACTGTGCTCTTCCTTTGATAATTCATGTATGCCTGGAAGAAAAGAATTAGTGAGACACCCACAAGATACACACAGCTAAAATCTAACCTTTTCAAGAAAAGTCTATTAAAGCTTTCCAAAAAATAGTGATTTTTACTATCTTCATGTTTGAGTGAGTTGTTTGAATTTTACAGATGCTGATGAGCATTACAAACAGAAAGTATTGGAAAAATAGAAATCAAACAACCTGTTAAGTGCTTGTTCCTTCAAAGAAGCCATCTATCCTATCCTGAATTCCAATATGACAAAATAAGAAGCTTCTCCCAGTGTTTTAGCCAACAATCCTCCACAGGTTAACCAGGGATTGGAGTTTGTGGAACTTGCAGCACACAAAACTGCTGCCACATTTGGCTAAAAAAAAAATCACTACATTTGATAGTAGTGGTGACATTTTGACATAAGCCACAAGTTTGCAGGTGGTGTTGCCATTGCTCATTGCAAACTATGATTGGATATAGGACTGCAAGGCAGGACAAGAGGGCAAAAGTTCAGGGCAATTTTAGAACATATATCAGAATTATTTCTTTACACTTAGGGTTATAAGCAACTCTTAACAGGCTACCAGAAAGGTTGAAACCACTTTGCTATCAAATCCAAATATCTGCTTACATCTAACATTATATCTCCCCGATGTTCATCCCAGAGCTTTATATAAACTACATCTCTCTCCGATCCTTACCTGGGGGATGTATTTGATGAGTGTGACACCTAGTTTATGTAAGAGAAATAGTAAAAGTATTGGAGCCATGTGAGTTCGCCAGCTATCGTCACAAACAAGGTGACAAGAGCGAACAACACACAGGCCACCAGCATTCCAATAGCGGCCTTCGACATTCTTGTACCCCTTTCTGTGTGCCAGAAGAACAGGAGAGATTCTGAGAATCTATCAACCACAAAATACATCGTCAATCCACTTCACAATATAGTTTTGGAGATGACTCAATGACATGATAAGGTGCAATATCAAATGCAAGGATTATTATTGTTATTGTTATTAACAACCAAGATTAAAGGATATCAACAATTCTCAGATTTCAAAAGGAAAATGGAAGCCAGTACAGGAGAAATACCAAAAGGCAGACTAACCTCATAGATACAACACTGACAAGCTGTAATTGCTGTAAGCAAGATGGCGTGGAGGCTGAAGAAAACATCATTCGCATATACTGGGTCCACCCCATTCAGGTTATTTTCTAAAAACTGTTTCTAAGGAAAAAGGGAGCAACAGATTTAACACATTAACTAAAATCTAAGCCATTTGGAATTATATCGAAGTCTTAAACCAGAACTCAGTCACTTCAATTATAATCACACCGGATATAAGGTTTAATATATTATATTATATATTCGGCTCTGCACAAATTCACCTGCGGTGTCCTCGAGGAAGCCTGAGCTCAACACAGCAAATCATTTAAATCCCTGAAAGTTGTCTTTTTGGAATTGTAGATCTAACTCATTCACTGTAATCAGTTAGATAGATGGCTGTTACACAATGAACTCTACATTCATTTGGACATTCATTGGACATGACTTTCAGAAAATGACAACAATGCAAAACATGATAACTTTGATTCAGATTGAATCGATTAAATAAACAGGTTTACAGAAACACTCTGCTTCTCGTTTGGCAGATAATTCTGTCTTTTGAAATCACAGTCTTAGGGTTTACTATGAACTTTGTGCTTTATGGATACTATAATCGGACTGAATTGAGTGACCGTCCTGGGATGGGTCAGTTTACTATTAATTTAATATAACTCAAAACGCTTCACTAGTAATCACTGTATAGTGTAAGGACTGTACTTGTAGGCAGACACCGCAGCCAATTTGTGCACAGCCAAGCCCCACAAACTGCCAAATTATCTGGAGGGTTGTAGGCCGGCCAGGACAAACTCTTCTTTTTGAATTGTGTCAATGGATCATTAATATCCACCTGAACAGACAGTTGGAACCTTGGTTTGACGTCTCATTTGAAAGACGGCACCTCTGACAATGCAGCGCTGCTCCCAACTGGAGGATCAGCCTAGACGGTGGGCTTAAAGTCCCAATTTCACTTCCACTTCAGAGCCTGAAAGCAGAAGTGAAATGCAGCTGCAATACCGGGTAAAAAAAAAGTTAGATCACATGAACACAAGGTTATAAGGTGCTTGCTGACTGCAATTAAATTCCAAAAAAAAATTGAAGCCGCAACCAGATTCCCCCAAGAAAGAAACCTTACATCGGAAAGAGGAACCACTGCTTAAAATAGTCAGATCAACACGTCTATCCATACACAAAGAATTAAAGGGAAAAACCAAAGGATAGTCTCCACTCTTTGAGGCATACTGTCCCAATATTACCTTTCCATTTCCCTATTTGACCTGGAAAATGTAATGAACAGTCAGGACTTTTCCCATCCTGATTACATTGTTCCAGGAAAAATAGGGAAGTGGAAAAGGTTTTTGCCCCTTAAAGGAAAAGGCCACTTTTTTTTCAAAATAGCAGATTTGATTTACTGGTATGTGGTTGATGCGGAATGAGCAGGGTATATACAGCTAATTGTTGAAACCAAGTGTGTGTAACATGCAAGATAACAACTTCACCTGAAAATTACCAGCAAATACAACCAAGCAGAGTTCTAACACACCTAAAGCAGCAACTAGTGAAGATCAACTACAAATTGACAGCATCATTAACCACATCACCGAGGCTAACATCAATTTGACGTTACCAATCCCGCTGCCTAGACTGTGACTAAGAAGTGACTGTTCTATGCTGCCTTTCGTGGCCTGCCACTCCTTCTTTCTGTCGACTTTATACTTTCACTTGATTGACACCTTTAGGTACAAGACCTTTAGTAAATGTAAATTTCCCTCTCCCATCAACTTAATTAAAATAACAATTTTTCTCTTGACCATTTTTCCTTGTTCTGTTATTTATGAGCAAAACTGGCTCAAAGGTTCCATTTATGTATAAAGCCCACAATGTCATTGTGCTAATTATTCAAAGACATAGCGTCATTTTCATTCCAGTTGAAACCTTTTTGGTCATTGGGTGAAGGCAATGGGAAATACACTACTGAAACAGGGTGGGTCCAAGCAATTTTGGCAATAGGAAAACCAAATTATCTTCATGTCCGGTTACCGCTAACAAACACTTAATAAAAAAAACAACAAAAGTTCAATGAAAACATGACATGGAGCTCCTCCCAACTAATCTGTGAGAACCTAATTTCTGGTGATTATTGTAACAATCCCATTTCAGTGGTTTGACTACCTGTCCTTTACGAAATGGTGAAGAAGGAAGATCAAGATTCACTCCCACTTACTAAACAAGCTGAAGTGATCTTCATAATAGTTACCTTAATATATGGAATCCAGAAAAGGCCAATGTTAAAAACGCCATAGGCTGTATGACCCATCAGATTAAGTGCCAGGTAGTCA